TTGTCCCATATCATAGGTGCGCGCGGATCCCAAGACTTACGGTCTCCGTCCCCGATTATGGCTCCTGTATGAACCCAATCCAACATTGGTAGCCTGCGAACAGGCTCCCGGTTGGGTTTAGGGTTTGGTGCGAGCTAGCCGAGTGTGGTCTAGGGCGAGCGGGGCTAGCCGAAAGCGGAATGGTGATGAGGGGGAGCGCAAGGGAGCTCCCCCAGGACCAAGAGAGGATAACTTTTAATAGAGTTAATCCCCCATAGAGGTCGTATTCCTAAGCTTTTCCCTTTCAAGGTAGTGTTAGACCACTCGTGGGCTTCAAATATTTCAGGGGGGTCTAGATGTAGCCATTCCTGAGACGAGAATTTTACTCTGCGCGTCGACAGCTTTACTCGCATTTTAAAGGTCCACTGAGGAAACATCCATGCAACGCGCTTGGCCACATTAACCGTAGGAGGACAGCATACCCTATTAGCTCTCTTATACCCTTCATCCTCTCCTGCTATAATAACATTAAATTAATACGGCAGATCATTTATAGCAAAGACAAAGTGGGGGTTTGCATGAATAATTTCGAAAATGTTGTGTGGTTGAATCGATTAATAATCAATGTCTACTTCAGACCCGGATATCCCTGACTTTATCAGAAGGCTTATTCAGTATTATTTATGTAAGCATAATTAAATTGCAGTCCCAATGAAAGACGTGACACGATCGCTTTCTTCGAGTTTAGATGTTTTCCCCTAGCATTTTATATCAGGAGAAACTACTTTCCTCCATGGCGTTTCCAAGCCGGGCGTTAAGCGGCCTTCACACGGAAAACTCAAGTTGGCAAACTCGTGTTTGCAAACTCCAAAATGTTTGCAAACTCGTTCTGTCACACGTCAAACTCGCGTCAAATCTCAACAACGCTAAATTTGCAACATGGCCGACGCAGTGCAGTGGCACTCACGTAGAGTTGTCGCTTGTGTCTTGGTCTTATTTTATGTTACGCAAATCTCGTGAAAAGAGCGCTTGTTTTGATGGGTTGAGAGTTACCAACACACGTTTGCCAATCGTTCACACGTCAAATACGAGTTTACCAACACGAAGAAGTTGGTGAGAATAGAGGCAAGTTCTATTTGTCGCCAACAGTTTGCCAACGTGTTTGCCGACCGTCTTTGTGCCGTTCACAACAACTTGAGTTTGCCAACTTTATTTTGCCGTGTGAAGGCCGCTTTAGGTTTTCTTAACAATAGGGAGCTTAAGTAAGGACAAAACTGAGGAAAAAGAAAAAAAAATGTTTTATTTAAGTCTTGCAATAATCTAGTTGTATTCAGTGCATCTAAGGGTTCAAGTGTGAAATGTCTTGCCTCATAATCCCTGCCTGATTTCTAGAGTAAATTCAAACAAACTGCCAGCAATCTAGTTTACATCTGCGTGTGTCACAAATTTGCATATTCTGAGCTGTAACAACAGTGACCCAATAGGGCAGCTGACCCAATAGTTGTTTATACGCTTCGCTTTCCACAACTTAAAATAGAAACCTTGCTTTTCTTTTCTAGTGGCAGATTTGCACGTTGTCATCACTTGTTGGCACTAGTTGATGACGTATACAAATATTTGCATTAAAGTCGCCTATATTGTGCCAAGAGGTTTCCCTTTTCAGACAGTTCAAAGACGGCCAGAAGGTTGATCAAGCTTGAAGGTCGCTTATGTTTAAAACCTCGGTGATACGCAGTACCCAGCAGCAAATCATTGTTTTGCAACTTTGATAACTTCTGATGGGGTTGTCTCTTTCATGTCGAGGACATTTCACTTAAATTTGACTCTCCGTCTTATGTATTGTTTACAGAAAGTATACCATTAGAATTTTGATGTTATAGCAACCAACAAACATACGAAGAATGAGGTCACAAAAGACAACGTAAATAGGTGGAATTATTAACAGTCTATAGTTAGGGGAAAATCCCTCTGACTGAGCATTAACTGTGGACTGAGGTCATCACAGTAAATAAGAGGAATAACCCCAAAACAAAACAAAAATCCCAAACAAAACAGAAAATGTGGCCGTGCATCAGCTCTACCCTCGTCTGCTGGATCCGCAGACTACTTTGACAACAGAACAGACGCATGAAAAACTGACGTCAATTTGTTTTTTACGATAACAAATTGTCAAATTGTCAAATTGCCCGCGCGCTCTCTCGTTGACGCATCGCATAAATAATAAA